ACCCAAAAAATTTTTAAATTTTCTATTCGTTTGACTTTATTTTATATGGAAATTGTTCATTAAAGTGATATTTTTTTTCCACAATTGGTTATAAAATTTGTTTCCATTGCCAAAAAGTTAAAAAAAAAGGGAAAAAAAATTGTTTCCTAAAAAATCATTTTTTTATCAAAATTTAGTGTTCGTTTGACTTTATTTTACATGAAAATTGTCCACTAAAGTGAATTTTGTTTTTATAATTGGTTATAAAATTTGTTTCCATTGAAAAAAAGAAAAAAAAAAAAAGAAGCAAAGATGGAATTTCATTTTCCCACCTAAAAGGTGAGAAATCATTTTCATCAATTAAGAGGAAATCAGGCGCGTGAAGCAAGACCCAAGAAAACAAATGTCCTGGAAAATTGTGTTCATCAAACATGCCAAAACTAAGAAGATAGAATTCATTTTCCTAATTCCATAGAAAAGAATGCAAATCAAACAGGCCCTTATAGATCTTGATTAGCAGTTGTTAATTTTTGGATTAGAGGTTGACAACTTCCATAGTTTGTTAATCATGTGTGCTATTCATTGCCTTAGGTGCATAGCATAGCATTGAGTTCATAGTTGTTGTGGTTGGTTTAGGTGTCACTTTCTTGTATGATCTTAGAAATTGCCATTTTTCAACTTTTGCCTTATTCGTGTACTTAGTAGGGATGTTAAGTGGGGCGAGTCTCTCATCGACTCAATTCGCCTTCAACGTGTTCGTGGGCACGAGCCAATCTATACTTTTGTTGTGCGAAATGTTCGTTGGCCTGCGAGGAAAATTTACATTTTTTTTTAAAACGAGCTTGTGATTTATTGGTGCCTTTGCATCTTCTGATGATGATTTGATGTTCCATCACAACTTATTTATATTATTTTATTGAATATAAAATTTACATTTTTATTTATGAATACTTTGCAGTTCAAAATTTTCACTCGTAATCTTTAAAATGACTGTTTTATCCCAGGAAAGATGTGTTCTTCAGCATGCATAATTTTGAATAAGAACTTAGTCTACCAAGTTTTAATTTTTAAGTGAAGGAGCTCGTTTTAATTGGAACGAAAATTTTAATGTACTTCTATGCATGCCTAATATAATCAATACCAAATTCGGATTAAGGAGGTATTTTATTTATTTTATTTGTACCATTTTATTTTTAAAAAAAATGTACACGAAGTATTCTTTCGTGTACAATCTTAACTTTGTCTGCATATTGTAGTTGGTCTTAAGTCTAGATAAAGGAGGAGATTTTTTACAACTTTATAATTCTTTTGACAAAAGAGAATTTTTTTACATATATTATTTACACAGAAATTTACGTTATCATGGTACGTCGGGAGTAGGTAATTTTCATTTTTTTTAATAGCGAGTAGGTCGTTAGCCAGCTCAACTCCCCACAAGGGGGTGAGTTGGTGAGACGAATTGAATTGAGTTTTTAGAAATGAGCTAGGGGGACTCGACTAGCCCCATATGGGAATGCAAGTTGGCTTGCGTGGTGGACTAAGCTGAACTCAATAGTGGACGAGCCAAATTGAGCGACTCGGGTTGACTTGACCCATATAACACCAATATTGTTAGGGGTATTAGAGGACTAATTTTCACTTGACTCATATAACACCAATATTGTTAGGGGTATTAGAGGATTAATTTTCGTGCCGACCATATGTTCAGTGCGATTTAATAAATGAGACCAAACATGCACTTGTAATTTTCTCATTTTACTTTAGGTATGTCTTGTGGGAAAGAACATTGAAGCCAAAGCAGCCACGAACCACAATAAGTCTTAAAAAGGAGGTGAAACAAGCACAAATAGCATTGCCTTGATCTTTGCTTGGACTCGGGGGCTAACCCACAGGTAATTGAATGAGTTCCTTGAAATGAAATTTAACGAGTAAATAATTACAAGCAGTGAATTTTTAAGCAAAGCTGGACGACAATGCAAAATTCTTGGAGTTCACCGAAAAACTTAAAGTGAGTTGTATTTATATCGTTGAATCTGGAAAAATGACTAGGGATCTTGCCCTTATCATCCATTGATCTATAAGTAAGTGCCCTTTCATAGTTTTGTCAATGGATAGTTACTTCCTCATACTGTGTTGTAGAAAATATGTCATTTTTTAAAATGGAATGTGTATTTTTCAATGGAGGTGTAGGGTGATGTTGTGAAGCAAGACTTTCTTGTTATGTTTGATCATATGTATACATTATAGGAAAGAAAGAAAAGTGGAGTCAAACATAGGAAATATCTCAACAATCATTAGTTGCTACAAATGGACAAGATTCATTGTTGAACAATTTAATTCTAATCTTAACTGTAAAGATCGAAAAATGTGTGTTATGAGTTCGGTGTACAAATTTTTTCAGCTCTACCAAATCATGGATAAATAAGATACCATATATTGATGTAGCCTGATCAAATATCACCGATGACCATCTTATACGATAGAAGAGAAGTTCGATCTGACACAGATTTAAGTTTAGTCGAAATTGTTCGTGAGCCAGAATTTTTATTCGAAGAAAATCTCAACTACCCATTTGTAGTAACTTTCACACAATTGCTCTCCTTTACCATATACAATTTATTTTGTTTGCTTTTAAAGTAATTAATTTATTTTTTGTTTGAAATTAACAAAAAAAGGAATAATTAAAAAGGAAATTGCTCTTCAGGAAAAAAAGAAGAAAGAGGAAATTGCAATATTACGCATCAGCAAGTTACGTAGTCGCAATCCGTTGCCTAATGATCTGATAAAAAGTCCACCGTCAACTGCACCTACCTCTAGTTGACAATCAAATGGTTAAATACACATTTCGTCCTTAAACTTGCAGACAAACTTCATGTTCATCCTTGATATGAATTCCGCCATCAAATCAGTCACTAAAGTTTCATAGTGGTTGCGATCACGTATGTCAAATCCTATTATATTAATTCGCTATGTACTAATTGAAGTTTAATCCCATTACCAAAAAGCAATAATCATTAAGGATGGCAACAGAGTTGTCCGTCAAGGAATTTTATTGAAATTAGACGCGACGAGATAAGATTAAAATATCTTCATTTTTCACATCGTTTGCTTATTTATTATAAATACAATTCAAATTTGAAAATATATGAGAAAAAAAAGTTTAACATAAAAGTCGAGGCAAGGTCCTCATCCTTATTCTTCAACATTGCGAGGTAAATGAGCTTCGTCGCAATGTACTATGTACGTGTTTGACACTAATTTGAAGATAAAAAGGTACATGTGTGATTTGACTTTAATGCCACCGACAGTGAGATTTGAAACAAAATAAATTTTAAAGAACAACATGAAATTTTGATACAACTTTAAGGACCAAATCTATATTTAACCCTAAATTAGAAGAAATCTTTCCTTCTAATTCATCTAAAAAATACTCTTTGCAGGGAGATCGAGATCTGTGCTTTTCTCTCTCTAGACCCCTCACTCTATATTTATGATACAGACCAAATCCATTTTCTCAGTCGGTGGGTGCACAAAAAAGTGAGACAAAAATGGCGGAGAAGAATGGAATTATGGTGATGATGGGGTGGTACGCCGTCATTTTGGTCCTAGTGTGCTCCTCCATTCCGGTGAGATCTGATGCATCGGATCATAGGTATAAAGTTGGAGATCCTGTGCCCCTTTATGCTAATAAGGTTGGACCTTTTCACAACCCCAGGTAATTTTTTTTTTATTTGATTTGATTTTCATTGTGGAATGTCCTTGAGATTGTGTCTGCTGCATTGAGGTTTTTCATTTTTGGGTGATTTTATTTGTTGTGGATTTGATGATGTTTGTTGTATTAGTGGGAACTTGAGAATAGCTAAGACCAAAGGAGTTCATCAGATGATGTCTTCTCCTTTTGGAACTGTGGGTTGATGAATTGTATGTAATTCTTAAAAAAGAATATAAATATTTGTATGTATGTAATCCTATGAGTTAGTGAATGTCTGTAACACTTCATGAAAAGTTTTTTTATGTGAACTTTGGTAGATGCTCTCAACTCCCTTTGTGAGACAGAAATACGAATTAATATCCATGTTCCCCTTCCCATGGAGAAAAATGAAGTATTCTGAAAGATTGAAGTGCCTAGAAATCCTTATTAAATTCCTCAAGAACCAAAGTTTCACCATAAACAAGAAGCACAACTATCTGTTTACTATTTTAACAAATGAAGTTAAAATAAAAACTGGTCTGCAAGAGTCAAGATATCCTAAGTGAAGAAAACATAGGTTTGTAAAGTATTTCTGTTTTAAAAAAATGAAAATCTTTTGCCTTAGGGTGTGTTTGAGCCACATTGTTTTGGAAGAATATATGTTGGAATAGTAGATTGATGGAGAACGTGTGATTGAAAAAGAAGGAAAAGTTATTGATATGATGAAAAATATTATTTTATTGAAAAATGTGTGATTGAAAATGAGTAGAAGATTGAGAATGATAATTTTAATGTGGCTCAAACATGGNTTTTTTGACGTGATGTGATGAGGAATATGTGGTTGAAAAAGAAGGAAAAATTATTGATGTGATGGAAAATATTATTTTATTGAAGAATGTGTGGTTGAAAATGAGTAGAAGAATGAGAATGAAAAAAATAATGTGGATCAAATAGGGCTTATAGTGTTTTCAACGAAAACTGGCATTGAAGTGCTCAAAAAAAAAAAAAATGCCATTTGATTTAGTAGAGCTCAAAGCACTCTTTAGTTGATATGAAGTGTACTAAGCTTCATTGAGGGTCTGTTTGATAAGTTAGATTTTCCATGGAAAATTGAATTCATTTTCCATTTTCCACCTTTTGACTTGTTTGATGGGGTTTTTTTCCATTTTCCACCTTTTGACTTGTTTGATGGAGATTTTTACCCCTAGAATTCCTCTTGTTGGTTTAGGGTCACACGCGCCATTTTCCTTGATTTTGTGGAAAAGCAATTCCCACCATTTTGGTAGGAAATGACTTTCCAGGTTTACATGATCGTTTGATTTTGAGTTTATATGATCGTCTGATTTTTTGCAAGTGTACAGTATCGCGAACAAGTAATAATGTGTTTAGTGTGATGTCGTTCCCACAAGGACTATGTACTCAATCTATCTAGTGTCGTGCAATTGTAACTCTAATGAACAGCCAAGTGTGTTTGAATGATTTACATTAATTAATCTAAAGCTTGATCTTCAAATGGTTGAAATCTTGCAATTGCCCTTCAATTCTCTATAATTTGGCCTCTCATTTATTGCAATAGATGAAAATATAATGTATGAGAGGTGTCCCCCTAACGTATATAACTGTTTGGTATCTATAGGACTTGAAAAGAGGTTGAAAATTGTGTCTAAAATTCGTTCCAGGAAGAGTTCTAATCAAATTCAAAATTTACCATGGAAACACCAAAATTGGCCTAAGCGGTTGCACAGTATAAACCTGGGCGATAGCCCAGGATTAAATTTTAGCCATTTTTTTAAATGTTGGTCGATAGCTCAGTGTAAAATCTTTCACAAATTTGCACTTTAGTCCTTGAATTCTTTTCTAGTCCTTTCTTGAAATATTCTTGATCCTTTGTCTTCCAATTGCATCCAATTGAACCCTTATAATTTTCAATCATCATCTTGTGGTCCGAATCAACTATTGAAAAGTTTCAATTAGATCCCCAAAATTTTGGATTTTGCCATTTTTTCGCCATTTTTTTTAATTTCGCTTTCAATTATCGAGTGTCACTAACAACTAAAATATACAATAAATTAGTCCATATAATTAATGAAAAGAACTATTAGTGTCTATATGTTTTGGCCTGAGTAAGTGTATAAAATACACTTATCAGTGCATGCTGTAAGATGTATGATAAATATTCTTCTTTGAGTTGGATATTACAGTTGATTGGAAATAATTTGCACATACAAATGTACATTCTGATGGAAATACACATCGTTCTTTGATAAACTAATAGAATTCTCACTTGTTTTTGCAATGCCAGCGAAACATACCGCTACTTGGATCTTCCTTTCTGTTCCCCAGGTTTGCATCTTGTTGCTTTAGTTCTCTCTTTAATTCACTGAGTTATAGGGAAAATAATATCTCACATAGTAATTTGCAGCTCACATGAAAGAGAAGAAGGAAGCTCTTGGGGAAGTGTTGAATGGGGATCGTCTCATAAGTGCCCCATATAAACTTGACTTTTTGCAAGATAAAGATTCTGAAATTGTTTGCAAGAAGACATTAACCAAGGAAGAAGCTGCACAATTCCGAAAGGCAGTTGCAAAAGACTATTATTTTCAAATGTACTTTGATGACTTGCCCATTTGGGGTTTCTTGGGGAAAGTGGACAGGGAAGGAAAATCTGACCCCAGCGAGTACAGATATTATATATTCAAACATCTCCATTTTGAGATCTTTTACAATAAGGACCGTGTCATTGAGATTAATGCACGAACTGACCCCAGTGCCGTTGTAGACCTTACTGAGGATAAGGAAGTTGATGTGGAGTTCATGTACTCTGTGAAGTGGAAGGAAACAAACACTCCTTTTGAGAAGAGGATGGAAAAGTACTCACAGTCCTCTTCATTACCTCATCACTTGGAAATCCATTGGTTCTCAATAATCAACTCTTGTGTGACAGTTCTTCTCCTGACTGGTTTTCTGGCCACTATTCTTATGCGAGTTCTTAAGAATGATTTTGTCAAGTGAGTACATTGTGTTATCTTGGACTTCTGTATGATAATGAATTTCCTTTAATGTTAAAAATTGTTCACTTATTCTATTTATCAAAAGGTATGCTCATGACGAGGAGACAGCTGATGACCAAGAGGAAACTGGTTGGAAATTTATTAATGGTGATGTATTCAGGTATCCGAAGTACAAATCCTTATTTTCCGCTGCCCTTGGTTCTGGAACCCAGTTATTTACCCTGTAAGTATCTCTTTGAACTACTTAGTTTGCTTGAAATTGGCTTCATTTATCTCTTTGCTGATTACTAATTGATGGAAAATCTGCCAACTTCAATCGCAATTTTTTTTTTTCAACAGCACAGTATTTATTTTTATCCTTGCACTAGTTGGTGTATTTTATCCATATAACCGTGGAGCTCTATTCACTGCACAGGTTGTCATTTATGCTCTTTCATCTGGGATTGCTGGCTATACTGCAGACTCTTTCTANGGAGCTCTATTCACTGCACTGGTTGTCATTTATGCTCTTACATCTGGGATTGCTGGCTATACTGCAGCCTCTTTCTATTGCCAACTAGAAGGAACAAACTGGGTATGTTTTATCCTCTTCCATAACTCCATCTTTTACATCTTGTAGTTGATCTATAACTATGATGAAGAAATTATATCAAGTTTCAAGCATATCTATCTCCCTCCCACACCAAAAGAAAATTAAAAAAAGTGGCAGACATGTCATTGCTTCCATTGTCTAACAAAAATGATAAGAAAAATAGATTCTGAAGTTTTATCTAGATGTATCGACTTATTATGATCTGCTAGCATGCAGGGGCTTCCTTCAATTGGATTTCCCGTTTTGTATTTAATTAGTTTAAAAAGAACTATAACTCCCTTACTGTAGATCTTTCTTGTTGGAAACCAAAGACATGCTATAAGTAGGAATTGAAATTACACTTGTCTGACATTCACTTTCTCATCGTGCAGGTTCGGAATTTATTATTGACTGGAAGTCTATTTTGCGGACCACTATTTTTTACATTCTGCTTCCTTAATACTGTTGCAATTGCTTACACTGCCACTGCAGCACTGCCATTCGGGACTATTGTGGTTATCTTTCTTATTTGGGCCCTCGTGACATCACCTTTGTTAGTCATGGGGGGGATCGCGGGAAAGAATAGCAAGGCAGAGTTTCAAGCTCCATGTCGAACGGCAAAATACCCTCGAGAGATCCCAACCTTACCTTGGTACCGTGGAACTTTGCCTCAGATGGCAATGGCTGGATTCTTGCCTTTCAGCGCCATATACATAGAACTTTACTACATATTTGCTAGTGTATGGGGCCATAGGATCTATACCATTTACAGCATCTTATTTATAGTCTTCATCATCCTCTTGATTGTTACTGCTTTTATTACTGTGGCATTGACATATTTCCAGCTTGCCGCTGAAGACCATGAATGGTGGTGGAGGTATTACATCTTATCCCTATGAGAGATGTTTTTAATGCTTTTTGTTTATAGATCACTTGTAATTTTCTAATATTGACTACTGAATGCAGGTCGTTCCTTTGCGGTGGATCAACTGGGTTGTTCATCTATGCCTACTGTTTGTATTACTATTATGCACGATCAGATATGTCGGGCTTCATGCAGACCTCATTCTTTTTCGGATACATGGCTTGCATTTGCTATGGTTTCTTTCTCATGCTCGGCGCAGTTGGTTTCCGAGCGGCACTCTTTTTTGTCCGTCACATATACCGCTCGATTAAGTGCGAGTAGAAACTTGGTTTGTAGCTTTCAATGCTCTATAAATATGGCAACTCAAAACAGGACTTCTCAATGGAGACACTGATCTTATGACGGTACAGACGAACAATTTATTTTGTTACTTTAGTTTCAGAGTTTTCAATATCCCGGTTTTTGTCGTCCAAATCGCAGATGGTAGAATGGGCAGAGATGAAGGTTGCCTTTCTCATTATGTGTTTATATTCTTTCTTTCTTTTTTTTTTTTTATCCAGAATGTTGTTGACACTTGTGTACCATCTTCATTTCGTTCGTAGTTTAGAATCACCACCTCGTTTAGTTTCACTGTTTTAATCTTTTTACGTACTTGGGAAAATTATTACAAAAATAGCAGATCTATTGTTTAGGGGCATTCCGCAAGTGGTATTGAACATGTTTCGAATTGGACTAGGTTAAAAGTTTTGAAATGTCAAAAGGCATAACAAATAATAAAAATTGTTGCCAAAAACATAAGCACGGTGTCAAAATATTTTTTTGGTTTGAAATTTATGAAGACAAAACGTTTATTTCATAAAACAAAATGTTTGTGATGCAACAGGGTTTTCTTTTTTGCAATAATGAATATTTTGTTGCTAAAATTTGTAGGCATGGAGGAAAAAAATGGCACATGTATTTGTCATTGCTCTAGCTTGTGGTAATGTGTTAAAAAAAATAAAAATTGTGGCATTCACATTCGTTTCATATTAGTCTTTGTAATGAACAACATTTGTCACTAGTGTATTCTTCTATTGTTCATAAATAAATGTTTTAAACTATTTAACAAATTCGTAGTAAATTATTATGAAGTATGCAAAAATGCAATTGTTTTTTTTTTTATACAAATTTACTTTTTATACTATTTCTGTTGTGTATAACGTATGAATAATAAAAACTTCAAAATATTAAAATTTGATTTGTATGATTGTATTTAGTTTTCGAGCAAAATATAACATGAAATACAAATTTCTTAAATTATATAGTTTATTTGTTGGGAGTAAAAGAAGTCCAACATCGACTAGACATCAGAAATATGATGAGTTTATAAGGATGAACAAAGAGGAAATTACACCCACACTTGGAAATAAATTTCCAATTTCACAAATCCAATAACAAGTTCAACATTTCAAAAATCAGGTTTTAATTAATAATTTTAAAATATTTTTTATTTTTATTTTTATATCTATATCTATATACAATAATCATTCAACCAAACCTTAATCATTCAACCAATTCGTTCCCTGCTCTCTCTCTCTCTCTCTCTCTCACCACCTCCCCGTCAGCCTCATCTTCTCTTCTCCCTCTCTCGCCGCCGTCGCCGCCACCACCTCGAAGTGGACTCTTTCTTCCACTCATCCCCCTTTCTCGTTTTCACACTCTCTCGTCTTCTTCCACCCGTCAGCCGCCTCTATCTTCTCCCCTTTCTCTCGATCTCCACCGAGCCGCTGCTGCTAACTCCGGTTGAATTTTCAGGATTGTGGAGCCAGCCCTCCTTGCGGTTGGGGTGTGGAGGTGCAAACTTTCAACGGGTCTCAGGCAGGGAAGTTGGGTGCGGTTGGGGATGTGGAGGTG